CTCGGATAACCAGAAACTATAATGTCTACGATGAATTGGCCCGTAGCAAGAAATATGCAAACCCATCCTGATCATGAACAGTGTCGGTCCCACTGTGAAGTTGATGGCTTGCAACAAGTTGCATTGACGACGATGTCCACTGCTGACAGGTTGCTCATCTGTGCAACTTCAGCTTCCAGATCCTTGACCCTCTTCAGCTCATTGTGTCGGAGTTCCTGCCCGAAGATGCCGTGCAAGGGAACAAGAATGAAAACTTGGCAAACAGTGCCAAATCACAACATGAGTGTCCTACATGATGACATCTCAGTATTCGTTCTTCCGGCACTTTTCCATCCGAATACGGTCTTCTAATCCTGCAAATTTTAGAACCGGCCTTCAATCGAGAATACTCCTGCTGTTTCCTCTTCAGGACTTCCATCTGTTCAGACACTCGTCTTTCCAACCGGCGCTTCTCCTCTTCACTGGCTTGCCTTAGCAAAATGAAGGGCCCTACGAGTAGTTGCTATTGCAACCGGGTTTGTGGCCGTATTGAACTTATCTATATATATATATGATTCTATATGTATATATAGTTAAGCCTGTAGTCATTGGGGTAGCTACGACCTCATTTCTGACTCTACAACTCGCGCTTCAGTGACTCGGGAGTCCAGGTCCGTTCAGGTCCACAACTTGGCGGACGCGACCGAGTGCCCCGTCCTGGCTTTCTCCTCCAATTTCTCGGACTCTTGCAGCCGGGCCTGGCACCCAGGACATCCCGGGACGGCAAGAGGACCCGAGAAGGACGTGGCCAGCAGCGTCAGTGCCTTCACCAGGTCCAACTGCCGCTGGGTCTCTTCTAGCTCTAGCTGGAGCTCTTCCATTCGCACCTCGAGCCATATTGGATCATATTGGGCACCCCACTCACTTGGAAGATTTAACATGGTGCGGTGAAACCAATTCCAAATCAAACAACACAAGAGCTTGGAAGAATGGCCGGTCGTGGGCAGCATGTGCCATCAGCTGAATCCCTTTGTGCTGTGCCTGGTATTGCTTCCGAGCCAGGCCCCATTCGTGCTCGCTGCGAGTGAGCTCACTGATGAGCTCTTCCTACCACAAATATTTATCATGAGGGGAAATACCACGATCAAATGTTGACAGTGCCAAGGGAAAATGATGAATATTTAGCTTTATTTGGGAAACTAGGTGCTAGGGGTACTTCTGCTTTTGAGAGGTCTTCTCGAATCGGTTGAGGCAGTTCTCAGCAATCAAAATCACCTTCATCCCTCTTGCGTACCGCAACCAACCCTGTGATCCTAACCCGGTCCTTGAGCACCACATTTTGCTCCAAGGACTGCAGCTGTTCACTCAGGTGCTTCTGCGACGCCCGAGTATCCTGAACCCCGTGCCCACGCACCAATGGGCCACAGTTCGGTTCGATGGACACAACTGCGATAAATAAAAACGAACATGTTGCATTTGTTCTGGGATCTTGCGAAGGCGCCCCTAGCATACCCAAGCTACTTTCGTTTGGATGTTGATACTCCAATTTTGGGGCTCTACCAAACATGACATGGTGTACTCAGTGTACTCCCTTGGAATTTCCTACGTTCCATGTTCATCCATGCATCCATGTTCATCCCTTCATATGATTCATATCCCTTCTACCTCCCGGCCATCTCCCAGCGGCCTCCAGGTCCGGCTTGGTGGTCTCCTTCTCGTCAGCGTCGTCGCTTCCGGGCAGCGCTGGCGAGGTGGGACGCCCACTGGGTGCGTCGTCCAAGTCACCTGAGCCGCTGAAATGGGAAGCAGGGAAGCCATGGGAAGCCATGGGAAGCCATGGGAAGCCATGGGAAGCCATGGCAAGCCTATGCAAATGAGGGGCCCCTCTCTTTGTTTCCATTTACTGTCAGTGTAAGTGTGTCTGTGTGTGTTTTTCTTGCATCTGAATCAAGTGAGAAATGCTTAAACTCTATGTTGAAAGTGGGTAGAACTGGGGTTCAACGGTTTAACTGTCATGCTAAATTCGTTTGAAACCCAGTGGCCAAGGAGGGCCCATCATTGTAGTTTAAAAGGTGGCATTCCACAAATGCATTATTTAAATTTAATATTTATATTATATACCTATAAATGTTATCATTGATCATATATTTCATCTATACACACCAGTGGAAGTTTATTGGTGCTTGACATAATTCTCCAGATGACAATCGTTTATGCAAGAGGCAGGTTTCCATACATCAAAGTTTGCGCATCTCCAAGGTCTGAGATGTGTCAAGTTCTTGGAGGATCCTTTGACTGCTTAGACCCACATCAGGCCTGAACACTGCGCAGTGCTCCACCGAGTTGCCGAGTCGAATGGCAAAGACTGCAGGGGCATCCTGTCGTTGTGGACTGGCGGGTTTCCTGTCCTTCAACATCTCCTCCAGGCGCACATTTCGCTCGCTAATCTCCTGGCAGCCCGCTGGATGACGTGCAAGCCTCTGGTCAGTTGCAATCCAACTCTGAGTCTGCGGGATTTATCTGTGCGTGAGTTCCAGCATCCCCTTATGGCCACATGCCGGCTGGCATCCTTTGTTTACCAAACTCCAGCAATCTCTCTCTCTCTCTCCCCCTCTCTCTCTCTCTCTCTCTCTCTCTCTCTCTTTCTATGACCTGTACTTTCCAGTCAGCCAGATCTCTCTTGACCAAGGGGGATGACAGGCTCAGGGTCTATCAGGATCCATCGGGGTCCTTCATTTCCCTCATCTTTTCTTCAAAGATCTCCTCGTCCTTCTGTAGCGCTTCATGTGCTTCCTTGAGTTCCTCCTGCAGCTGCTTGGCGCGGCGGCGGTAGAGCGCCAGCTCAGTCTCGAGGCGCTTCATTTCCTCCAAATATTTCTTGATCAACGTAGTGCTGTCTTTCCGCATCTCCGAAAGAGACCTGGACAGGGAGGACCAGGATGATAAACGAAAAGGATCTTTAACGAAAGTGCACCAACCATTGGCCAGTAAGGATGGACAATTAACAAAACGTAACCCCAAGTGAGGGTATAGGATGAGTAAGAACTCGTCAAGTGTTGGTTTTGGGGTTGATGAAGGTCAGACGGAATGAGGGGACGATCGGGGATCAGAGATTGTTGCAGTTGATCGATGGGATAATGTAAATGATAATCGCTGTGAACAGCATGAGAGCCCGTCATGAGGAGTCCGACAACAATCACAGCCATCTGCGAGTGATGGTGATGACAGTGCTGATGATGGCGATGACGAGGACGAGGAAAAGGAGGAGTATTTTGAAGATCCCGCATCCGCTCGCTGCATCCGGCCAGGTCATAGTGATTTCATGTGATTTCCCGATTTTGCCATGTTCCTCTTGAAACATTTCTATTGATTCTCAGCCACTTTTCTCAACCCATGGTTGTCCTTTCCCCAGTTTTTATCGGGCTGGTTGATTATCACAAAAAGGATGCTGTCAACCCATAGATACCCAAAGTATCAAAAAGATTGCGACATCGCTTGGTGGCATGTCAAATTGGAGTAGGCCACCACCCACCCTGCAGCTGTCATTTTCCGAGTGGTTGGAAGGGTGATGCGATTGCACCTAATTTCACACCTCCCAAGTCTGTGCCCCACTTCGGTTCCAGCAGCTTATTGTCAGCCACTTACACCTCCATGGGTGGGATGGGTGTGGAAAGAAACATCATTGTTGCAGGTGGCTGGCAGCTTGAGCCAAAATGGCACAGCCAGCCACCTGCTCATGTCATGCAGAAAACATTCTGTTTTCTTTTACGACATCGCTTGGTGGCATGTCAAATTGGAGTAGGCCACCACCCACCCTGCAGCTGTCATTTTCCGAGTGGTTGGAAGGGTGATGCGATTGCACCTAATTTCACACCTCCCAAGTCTGTGCCCCACTTCGGTTCCAGCAGCTTATTGTCAGCCACTTACACCTCCTTGCCCAAGCGCTGACAGTTGGCGTTTGGAACATGTTACCATCGTGCAGTCTCCATCCGCAAACTCACAGTTGGAGGCGTGGAAGTACCATCCACACCTAGTCCTCCAGCCGATCGGAGGTGAGTACAGCAGTGTGCGTGTGTTCAGATGAACCACCTGCTGTTTCACAGATTTGACCAAATTCGGGAGGTACTTCGCAGCCGTGCCCATACGGTTTTCCAACTCCCTGATTGCCTTCTCCAAGTTTGAGTGGCTTCCTTTTGTGTCATCCTTGAACGAGTCCAACTCCTTCTGTAAGTTCGAAATGACCTTCGTGTTCGCCTTGTTCGATTGGATGGAGTTGTCTTTGGTTGGTGCTGTTTCAGCGGAGTTTCCTTTGATGAGCTGCTGTGCGAGCTGCATTTGCTGGGTGTTGGAGCCAAAGCAGCCAGAGTTGTTGACTGCTAAGGACTCCAAGGCCTCCTGGGCATATTCCAGGATTACGTTGCTTTTCCATCTGCCCAGGAATCCTACTTGTGCCACAGGCCATCCACTGCGGATGTATTGCAACGCACCCGTCCGGCGCGTAGAGTGGCCTGTGATTTCATCTCCATATAGCTTCCTCCAGTCCTTGACGATGTCGGATTTGGACGCAGGTTTGCCCTTTCTGTTGGAAGCAATGTGTCCGCCTGGGGTTCCTCTGAGTGCAGCCAAATTGACCAGGGACTCGAGGACGGCAAACGGGCAACGAAGGTCGCATCCATGTTCGCAAACGCATTGAAGGGTTCTGGATATTCCGTGCCCTTCGGCATCCTTTTTGGATTCTTTCCAGTTGATGGCGACCATTCGTGAAGCTTCCTCGAATTTGATGTCTTCCGCTGTGAGCGCGGCGATCTCAATCTCCCGCATCATCCAATGTACTCCGCATGCAAATAAATGGGTCGGTAGATTGACCTTCATGCCGGTGGTGAGAGGGCCGGCCAACAACGAATGAGCCGTCCACTCCGCTTCTGGCACTTCTGCCGCTTTCTTGCGAGGGCCCTGGCCCCTTTTTGAGGCTGCCATACATAGCTTGAAGTGGCGATCCAGCAAGCTCGTCCAGGCGTGCCCTGTTTCCACATGTGCTAATTTTGCTTCGACGAGGTATTGGCTGGTCGATTTGTAACCCGCTTCTCTGAGCGTACCTGCTAGCATTTTCAGCGCAAATGGTGTCAACGGAAAACCTTCGCCACCTGCACGAAGAACTTGGTTGACTGTATTTCTCTTGGCGTTCTTTGCCGCCCTAGATGAGTTGGCGCAGAAATCTTCCTCTACCCTTGCCACGATGCCTGCCAGTGCGTTCTTGGCCTTGGCTAGTTTGACGGCCGCTTTGATTGATGGCTTCGCTATGTTGTGAGTCAGACGCCTTTTTGGCAAGTCCTTTCTTCTGTCCTTTTCCGTCACGGTTGGGACTGAAGGATAGGGGCTCTGCAGCATCGGTTGAGGTGGTAGATCCAGCGCCGGCATGGCTAATGCTTTGATGTTCTTCCCTATGTCGCTCAGGCGCAGCTTCTTGACTGGCGAAGCTAACAGTTCTCTCCACCATGGGCCCTTCGTTGGTGATGAGCTTCTTACTGAACCCAGCGCAGGTGGATCCGGTGGAAACTTGTGCGCCTCAGGCTCCGGTGTGTTGCTTGGTTCTGACTCCTGTCCCTGGCTCGATATTGTTCTGCTCTTGTTGGGGCTGTTCACGTCTGCCTCCCGCAAGCTCCATTGGTCGAAGGAGTCCTCTTGGTTGGAGCTCGCAAGATCAGTTGCCCTCGTGCCGTAGCCGGAGTCCATGGTTAGTCCAGGATTAGCCAGCAATCTCTGCCCCTCAGCTTGTCTTCCCTCCAAGTGTGGGATCTCCGTGTCACGAATGTCGCTAAGTCCACCCCTGTCTTGGGATACCGCGACAATGGTAGGTGTGCGGAGCAAGCGGAAGAGGCACCCGCTTTGACCCGAGGCTGATGATGAAGAACTGGGGCCGTGGGTTTGAAACAACATAGATACCAGACCGTCTTGAGGAAGACGACTAGCAGGAGAAGGGCCCCGATCCCGACCATCACCGGGAAGAGCCACGGCATCCATGGCTTCTCGAGGGGCACTAAAGGCCCTGGGTCGACGTAGGGCGTGAGGCCTAAGTCGGTCATGATGAAAAACTGCGGCAACATGAAATGAAATTTTAATCGAGTGAATTTTGTTGCTGGGATTTTGACATGTGTTGGCCTTATGATGCCTCATCCTATGAGGTGCGGCTGTTTCCTCATCCTTTGTCAGGCCTGTCAGGTCAGTTGATACAAGACCAGGCGCTGTTGGCCGCAGAGCTGGGCTTCCAAAGATCGGGAGCCAGCTGGGGAGGTGCCAGGTGATAGAACTCTGGTCCCCGGACTTGTTTGTCCGAGTGCACGGGAATGTCCCGGAGTTCGTCTGGCACCTCTTCCTTAGATACCTTGTCCGGGCGGCTGAGCCAGTCTGCAGCCTTGTTGGCGGACCCCGGAATGTGAGAAGTCCTCAGCGTCTCGATGCCGATTTCTTCACACGTGAGGGCGATCTCGGCGCCCAGGAAATTCAGCGTGGACGTCGCACTCGACAGTCGTTTCGATGTTGCCAGGGCAACTAGACTGTCACTCTGGACTTGCAGTTCCACGTTGCAGGATTGTAGATCCCGTTTCCAGTGTTGCAACGCCAGCAGGACCGCCAAGGTCTCTACGATGCCTTGGGAGGATGATTGCTCCCAGACGTCTTCAAATCCCAAAAGTCTGGCATCGCGATGGGTGACCTTCGTGGTGTAGGCCCTCACCAGGCGGTTGTTGATCAGTAGGATGGCTCCTGCCCCTAACGGGCTTGCGTCCGTCACTATGGTGGCCTTCGGGTACTTCGTGGTGTCCAGCTTGAGACGCCTGGTGGGTTTGGCCCGGGCGACCTCCAGGTATTTGATGAGCCATACCCGTGGTTGTTCCAATTGTTTGACCACGAAGAGACCATCCTTTGAACGTTGGTCGGTTCTGTTCTGGCGTCTCTCGGATTCTTTGCCCGACGCAATGTCATTGAGTCTCTCATGCAGGACTCGGTAGGGCACAGCTACGACCCATCGTGTCCGGGGCAAAATTCCTGAGACCCATGAAGCTCTGCCTGCGACTTGTCGTAGTTCTTTGATTGGGGCCATTCCCGCTTTGTCCCAAGACCGGAGGGTTTGGATGAGTTCTTCCAACAGCTTGTCTGGGAGGCTCAGGATGATGGAGTCCTCCGTCAGAGTGAAGCGGACCCCTACCCATTGAACTTGAGTTGAGCGTAGGCCCTTCTTGAGTGATACCTTCAGGCCCAGGGCGAAGAGGGTAGTGAGGATCATGGAGAGCACACTATTGCGTTCGGCCAGCGTGCCCTGCAGAATCCATAAGCCATCGTCCAGATATGTCTGATGTTGTGCCTCCTTGCCCTGCACGAGCGACTGCAGCAATCTCGAAATCAAGGCTGCTATGCGTGACCATAGCAATGGAGCCGTCTTGAACCCGAACAGCAAGGCTACGAAGAGGTAGAAGTTCGGTCCGTTGACTTCTGGTGCCAATGCGTGCGGCAATTCCGCTTCGTGCACTGCGAGGGACATAAATGCGTCAGAGATGTCTACCACGACCAGCTCCCTCGAATATCCTTCGTCTGCTCCGCAAGGACGTCGTTGCTCGAAGACGTTCCTGAACATGTTGATGGCATCCTTCGGACGGGGCAGGACGAGTTTTTCCGGCAACCTGGCTTTCTTGTTGCCCCCTGATCTGCGGAGGTCCAATATGATCCTTCTCTTCACTCCTTCGGGTTTCTGCTTGATGATCAGGCCCAGTTTGGAGATTGTTCCATGAGCCATTTCCTTCGTAACCGTCTCTTTGTCGACGTCTACTAGGAAACCTTCCTTCCGGTACCTGTCCAACTCGATTTTTGCGTCTTCGGCATGATCGAGGACTGAAGCATAGTTGGGTATGTCGCCATGGCTCATCTGGGCACCTGCATCTTCTAGTTCATGTTGACCATGGTAATCCAAGTTGTTGTCGTCCACATTCAAAGGGAAAATGCCTCTTGTCTGGATGGGTACCTCAATCCCCAATGGAGCTCCGTTCCTCACCCAATCTGGTATGATGTCGTCGGGATCAGCGCTTTTCGGGATCCAGGCTTCTAGGAGTTCTGGGTCGAGAGGAGACATGTAGTTCCACCTGGGCTTCATCTTCACACTGGGGGGAGCTTTAGCGCCCAGCACCTTTTTGAGCGTGGCCTTCCATTCTTTGACCAAGGTGTCATTCATGTCGCAATCCGGGGTGCCATAGGTCTCGGCTACTGTTGACGTTCCCTTGTGTTTCCTCTCGAATGCTTCCCATGCTGCCCGGATGCGAAGGCCCAGAGAAAGAAGAGTTGCCCTCGGAAGCACCACTTTGTATGGATCCCTCATGCCTCCTATGAACTCCAATAAGGCTGGGTTGGCGTCTTTGGCTGAGCTGGGCTTCAAAGTTTCGTGTTTGCCCTCGCCGCCCTGCCAGTATGCTTCGGGTGTCTCTCCTACGTCCCTGGCCGGTTTCAGCTTCACAGGCGTGGTTGTGTCCCGCCTCCTGCGCTTCAACGGCGGCCTTGCTGGGCTCCTCGTGTTGTGGCCCAATGTAGCTGCCTTGTACTCCCTCCTTGTCGGCGGGCTGAGCGAAGGAAACTTAGTTTTCGTCCGTGATCTTGAGCGAGAGGTCTTTCGTGTGGGTCTCTCTCGTTGGCCCGGCAGTTTGGCGTCTGGGCCAAATTCGTCGTCCCTCCTCACTATCTTTGCCTTCATCACGTCCAAAACGTTCTGAAGTGAGGCCATGCGAGATCGTAGGAATTCCTCCTTCCCCATCATCTTGAGATGATCAATGGCCAGCTTTGCATAGGCCAGACAAAGGGCCTCTGGATACGTGGCCGACGCCTTGGATTTCTCTGGACCGATGATGGCCTCATGATTGCTGGGGTCGCCGCACGTGCACTCCAATGACAAACATTGCATGCCCCTCAAAGTGCCTTCAAATTGTTGCGGTTTGTAGTGCCGCTTGCCCAGCTCCAGGTTCTCTTCATACCTGCATGTGTTGAAGATGACTGATTGGCTTGGCCTCACTTTGAGAAACTTCTGCATCTCCGGGAGCTCCCAAGCAGAAAGGTGTTCAGGCTCGTTTGATGGCGGCGGATTTTCTAATGTGGCAATTGCGCCAATTGTGGAGATTCTCCTTGGCTCCGCCACCGTCGTCGCCATGTCTATGGCTCTGCAAGCCATGATCGTGCCCCGGTCGCACTCGGCCTGGGCTGCAGGCCTGTTGGAGTACCTTCCATGTGGCTCTGCCTTCGTGCGGACTGGTCCAGGCATGCCCTCCCTTCGCCGGAACCTCAATCTCGAGAATGTAGAACATGGAAATCCTGCATGATACGCATCGATGTAGCCCCGTTTTGCCCACCTCAAGTGAGTGTTGCATGGTTCATCGGCTAGTAAATCGCCTGAACCATTCTCTTTCTCAACACTGATGGCTTTGAGGCGGATTCCTTGTTTCAATGCCTCATTCCTCATCGCCGTCGTGAGGGGGTCGACAGCGCCAGCATAGTGGTGTACGAAGATGAATACCCTCTTTTCATAATATTCATCCAACGTCTCGGCCAGCAGGGGCGTGTCTTCTTCCGGATTGTCATTGCCTTCGTCTCCATGGTCTTCTCCCTCGTCTGACTCATAGGTGTACGTGTATTCAGCTGAAGATTGTGGTTCCTTCGTCACCTCCACCTTGGTGCCCTGGCTTGGTTCTCCTTGTTGTCCTGTTGTGGAGGTTTTCACACGTCCTTCTTCGTGCAATCCTTGCTTGGATGTCCAGGGGAATCGCAGATGGTGCACCTGTGTAGACGAGGTACAGCAGCTTGACACTTCTGCCCCGGTGCCAAATCCCCACAGGGCCCATTGCCATTGTTCCAGCTGAAACATTTCTGTTTGGCGGTGGACTTTCCTCCACCCTTTCCTTTTCCTTTTTCCCCATTTCCTCCTTTTGAAGATCTTGGGTTTTCTCCACCGTTTTGTTCTGTCCTCCATTTGCGTTTTCTCCTCCTTGTGTTTTCTGATGGGCCCTGTTGAACGTCCTTCGTGCCTGTGGAGTTCTCCCTGATAGGCGTGATGGTGTTGAGGCCTCCTTGCAACTGACCTGCTACCAATTGTTCTGCCGGTGTACGGGGTGTTCCATGACTTCCTGCCGCAATCCAACTCAGTGCCGGTGCAACGACTTGTACCTGCCAGAAACCCTCGTCCCGTGCTAGAGCTCCATAGACGTGATCCCATGGACGGCTCGTTGAAAATCCTTCTGGTGGATGTCGGCCCGCCTTCAGGTCCATGAGGATTTTTGATCTTACTCTGTTGGCCTGTGCCGACCTCGCCACCTCGTCTGCGCTGTATATCAAATGCCAGCATGAGGGGAACGTTCGGGCCAATCTTTCCATGTTGTTCTCGCAGGCCTGAAGGGAGGCCAAACCCACAGCGTCCAACATAAGGAGGGCCGTCTTGAGGAGCCTGTAGCATGTCCTCCATTGTGCGAAGTTGGCTGGACCCGGCAACTCTTTGGCTATGTAGCCACTTGCGGTCAAAACGAACGACCTGAACTTCAATGCTTTCAGCGCCTTCTGGCCGTAGGGCACGAATATCGCAAAGTCCACGTAGGGGGCTGTGTCTTGGATCTCGATGCGCTTTGAGAGGGCTGACAACTGCTCCAATGTCGGGTCCTCTTCTTCTGGAGGCCAGCCCCCTATCACTTGAACATACTGCTGGTACCAACGTGCCCTCGACTCCTCCGTTTGCACTGTAAAGTCGCCGTCGTCGTTCTGGTCCAAGATCGTCATCTTCAGTTTTCTCTCTGTATGATCTCCCGTGGAAGCCTTCGTTGTCGCATCCTCCGCAGTGACCTTCTGCTCCCCAAATGGTGAGGTTTCCTTCCAACTGTCCCAACTCCCTCCATTCAGGGTGTGCTGTATCCTGCGAGACAAATTCCAGACTAATCCCACATGGGAAGCTTGAATTGCACTCAGGTATTGGCCATTGGGCAGCTGGGCGCGTTCGAGCGCAGCCGAAAGAACTGGTCCAGGAAGGACGGCAAGAAGTCTCATGTCTTCGCATGGATCCCCTGCCACATGGGTGAAAGCCTTCCAGACCTCCTCCGGCAAGCTGTAGTACGCTCGGATGTCGGTCAACGAGCCCATCTGCATGGCGTCCGTCTGAGACGGGTACATCACCGAAAAACAAGCTGACCGCGCACCCCAACTGCAAAAGAAACATCATTGTTGCAGGTGGCTGGCAGCTTGAGCCAAAATGGCACAGCCAGCCACCTGCTCATGTCATGCAGAAAACATTCTGTTTTCTTTTACAAAAAATGCTCATTGACTTCGAAGTTTTTCAGATCTTTTCCCAAGTTGGTTGACCAAAGGATCACCGCTGGTTCCATAGCACCGAGGCACTGCAGTTTATTCTCCCCCAGCTGCGGTGCTGTGCTGGACAGCTGCACATGACCGTTGACCTCCTCCAGCTCCGGCACGTCAAGGGCACGGTCCTCCTGCCATGGGACTATGGGATGCCGCAAAATGCACCATTCAAAAGAAAAAATCGGGAAATGGTGACCTCCAACAGCTTCATTTTGAGGTGAAGATGGTGAAGGGCTGTAACTTTTTGGGGGTTAAACTATGAAGTATAATGAGGGCGAGCCGGAAAAACATGGAAATACTTAAATAAGGAAGATTTCAAAACAAAGACCGAAGCCTGATGGCATCAAATGACAAACTCAGTCCCGGGCCCCGGCTTGCACCAAATGGAAGGGTGGCGGCGGCAGCTGGCTGGTATCCCAGCCCTCAAACCCATTCTCTGCGCCTCCGTCAGGGGATACCGTAAGTTGAAGCATGGCTGGATTTCAATTCTGGTGAGGGACAAAAATATCGGATGTTTCCTTGCTGCAAGTCGGCATGACTTTGTCTTGGCAATGATGGAGCATCCGAACACATCAGGACATACAGCCAATCCTGAAATACTTTGGTGACCAGTTTCCACACACCGCACCATTCCAACTTCTCAACAGTCAAGGCACTCAGCAACAGCCGCTGTGCCGCAGACAGCACTTGACACACCGTCGTCAGGGATCGTCGCCCGGAGGGTGCTGCCGCTGACTGGCCCTCAGCTGCCTGGTGCGGATGGTGACTCACGGTGTTCCAACAAGCATAGCAATGGAAAATACCCATTGATATCCATGATAAGTACTTTTCTGAGGAAATGGATTTCATGTTGCCATCTTTCTTCACCAAAGGGATGGCACGCACAAGGTTCAGGGACAAAAAATGATATACGCGCGTAAGTGATACATGCATGCCCGGTGATCTTACTATCCAGCCTCCCAAATTGCTGGCAAGTGCTGGCACACTGCGGAGTACCTAGCACAGCGCACATCAGCATGTATGGCATAGAGGCTGGATGAGAAACTTGAGAGCAAATTGAATGAAGACATGAATCACATGAATCAGGAACAGCACTGAGGAAAGCACACATCTGTCAAACATCGCCGGAATGCTTCTCCTTCAGTCTCCTTTCTGCAGAAAAACTGGCTCTTGAGAGGACCCTCCCGAGAGGACCCTCCCAACAGAACCCTCCCAATCTGATTGCAGACTCAAAATTGTTTGAAGGACCAAAACTAAAATATGCGAAAATAATATCATGATTACGCTATGTGCAAGTTAGACCTGGGGATCTTGGGATGAAGTACATCTCAAAAACTTTCCGACCGAACATATCTTAATAATCCTGGTCCACTCAAACCACCCTTCGCGCCACTCCCAAGCAACCCCTGTAAGGTGACACCACTTCACCTGCGCCGCAAGCCGTTCGGCCAACTCGGAGGAACGGACCTCGGCAGCCTGTTACCACAGGCAAGTTGCATCTAATGAGCAGAGACCCCTAAATCCAGTTGCTTCCAACATCTTCCAAAATCTTGCAGCGATCCCAGCCTCGAGCTTGGCGGACAACTCAATCACCTCTTCGTTGCTTGGAAGGGGGCCTTCGAGCGATGCAAATTGAAGATCCACCACCGTGAAGAGGCACCACTAATCATTTTTGCAGCTATCTCCATCCTTTTGATTCTTTTGGAAATTGGAAGCGCCGTCCATAGTTGTTGGATTCGATGCTTTAGGAATGTGTCACCCATGCTCTGCACTTGATGCAAGTTGCTGGTCCACCACCCCAATCCCCTTGCCAACCACCTCCCACCATGGACAGCATAGGGCCCCCATTGGCGCGCTGCAGTTGCTCCCGCAGAGATTCAATCTCGTCCTGAGATTCTCAAAGGGGATCTTCTGGTGTGTTGGAAAGATGTCAGTCAATTCTACGCAAAATTCTGGGGATCTCCTGGGGTGCCAAGTAATTATCCACCCAGAAAAAAATTGATCAAAACTTCGTAGCTGAGAAAATACCAAAATTGCATGCTTAGAGACCTGCATTGCAGCCAGTTGAGCTTGCCTGGGATCATGGTTGATGACCTGAGAAAGTTCGAAGCAAATTGGCAGGCAAAAGAAGAAGACGTCCAAGAGTCCAAACTTTACTCAGTTTGAAGGATCGCCCAGTGCTTCACCTTTTATGTGAGCAAAGGCTAAAAATGTTCTAAAAAGCCTGACCACTAGGATACCATTGGTTCGAAATTCGAACTGTGACCATCCAATCTATCCCAGGGGCCGGTTTGTTCTTGATGTTCCGGGCTCGATGTGCGTACTTCAGGGTATTCAGCGTCTCCTCAAAGTCGATATCTGCGCAGCTGACGCACGCGATCATGACCTCAGATTCCAGCACCTTTTAGCTAACTGCAGCTAACCCCGCATCCTACCTGTTGGATACGTTTGAAAAAGGATGAAAAAGGCAGCATCCCAAGTTGAGACAGTTGAGCTCCCATCTCGCAGGGGTTGGGAAAACATCCAATGCAATTGTTTCTAAAGGTTAACCGGTTCGCCTCCAAAGTGGTTTCAATGATGCCCGCAATGTTTAGTTGAGCACCAACTGCGTCTAGTTACCGTGCGGGAGTTGCCTCCCAAACTATCCTGCAACAGTCGCGTTAACTTGGACTCTCTGTAGGGCACATGGCTGCCTGCAGGGGCGTCAGGGAGCCATCAATTCTGATTGGGGCTCACATCGGTCAAATGGCCAATCTTTGCACCCAAACTTTCAGCTGCATGTGTGTTTTCAATCATAGCCAATTCCCCTCCATGCAAATCTCGTGCCAGGCCTTTCTTGGCTGGATCCCCCAATGCAGAAATCACGTTGCCCAAGGCAAGGAGCCCTGAATTAATAGAGACGCTCTCCTTGAAACGACTTCCCACGGCCCCAGTACCTCGATATGGCGCGGCCTCTGGGTGTGAGCTATGCAACGGTATAAAACCTCAGGTGTAGCACACCTTAAAACTTTTTTTATATTTGCCTGAACTGACATCCTGCGCCCACTGGGGATCCAGGCGCTTGGCTCTCTCAGATCCAGCAAGGTCAACTAAGTGGAACTTGGCAGTGACGTAGTAGTCCACAGCCGCAGCAGGATCAGCAGAGTCGCACTTCCGGTTTCGCTGTTCCAGGATGAGCGTGAAAATGGAATGCGACCTCGCCAGCTCTGCGGCCCTAAACATGTACCCAAATGTAAGACATCTTCCCCCTGAAAAAACAAAGCTATGTCCACAAACTCCAAATAGCAGCCAAAAAGATCACCCCAAAAATGTACTCCGCTCCCAAAAGCTCCCAAAAGCTCCCAAAAGCTCCCAAAAGCTCCCAAAAGCTCCCAAGCTCCAAAGGCCCAAAGGCCCAAAGGCCCCTTTGCACCTCGAGCTTTGCTCGTTCATCAGGGTGGCTCCAGTGGTACGTTGCACCGAGCCATCGCTGAGACATCGAAACATCTCCTCCTCGCTACCGCAGGTCTCAGCGTGGATCCCGGAGACTTTGATGCCCCCGGCCGCATCCTCACGGATGGCGATCACCTGCCCATCCTGGCGTCCTGATGGAGCATGGTTACTGGCATGGCGGCCGGGGGATTGTAGAAGATAGTAGAAGCCTCCAAATCTTCAAGTGCTGGATTTGTTCATTGTTTTTCCATTTGCACACATCATCTCAATGAGGGATCCCAGTAGCAGTTGGATGCTGTTGTTGCAAGCTGGGTCCTCCTGGTTGAAGCAGGTCGCGGATGTCTTCATTGTAAATCTCCAGGTAGCAGCAGGACACCTCAGGGTCCAGAAGCACCCCCCTGTAAAGGTGGACCCTTAAATCAAATCGTCTTTGATCAGGTGGATCCACATGGATCCACGGACAATGTGCAGTGAGTTCCCTCTTTAAACGGATCACCTCGCAGGGTCCCCTTTAGTGATTAAACCTGGCAGAAGAAAATTGTAGAAATTCCCCGTTTCTGCACAACCCTTAGCCCTAAATGGATATTGAATGATGAAGTCTCAATTGCATTCAATTGCTACGTTTGCACCTTCTGTATTCAGGCCATTTCAGGCCTTGAAGTCGATGTTCTCCTTATGCACCTCGATGTGTCGGAAGCTGTTCCGAATCACCTCACGCAGCGACTGGTGATCGTTATGCTTCCATACATAGCTGACATCGGCTGACATAGCACAAAACTCACACGAACCATTCGGGCAAATTTGGATGAACAAATCCATACAAATCCCATATCATCGTCTTTCATGAGCTCCCTCTGACTGTCTTGAGAACTTGCATCACAGTGGCCTTGGGCACAATACCCTCCTCTTCACTTCCTTCACCCACTGACTGACCAGTGCCCATGGTATGGGTCTTTCCAGAGCCTGGCCACAGCGATATCCGATACAGCAGCCGCACCCTCACAAAAGAAAGGTGGAGAAAAAGACCAAGATTCAAGAATCGCTGGGGGGTTGTCCCAGCTTAGGTGTGTACCAACTGAGGTGCCCGCAATCCATTAATCCATTGTTCTTCCCTGCCCGTGCCCAACTGCTGTTTGCAAAATTGTATGAAAAGTCCCACGCGGAACCGCAGTCCTGTCTGCCCATACGCCAGCACAGTGGCATTGTAGCCTTGCCTCAGCGAAGCCACCGGGAGATCCAAAATGGAACCCCAACAAGGAAGTTTCCAGATAAAAATACGTTTCCCGAACCCATTCTTGAGGTTCCATATATCTTTCAAGAAGGCAATCCGCATCACATCTGTCAAAGTCGTCAGGTGGGGAATTCTTGGATTGAGGAGTAGACAGCAATCGACCGTAGGGCTGGTGTGGTTGAGAATAAATGGTATTGAAACATTTTGCAACATTATATACCACAAATCGAAATCCAAGCCACATGCATCCATCCAGCAACTGGGAAACGCAGCCATCGTACACAGCCGACTGGCAGGCATCTGTCTCATAGACGAGGTCAAACCTGGAGCGCTTGCTATCTACTGCTCATTTTGACACAAACACAAAATGCCAAAAACACAAAGCACAGAGTCAGCCATGATCACTTCTTTGGCTTGCAATTCTGAAAACTCACGTCTGAAGTCTAATGGTTCCATCTGAAAAGTTCGATGATCTTGAGCTGTGCCAATGTGCACCCCTGCATTGAGGTACCAACGCAAAGGCCCTCTTTGTGCCAACTACGACTTGGTTTGCTTTCTGGTGCACGGTGATGCAGCTACAACAGTTCCTTAGGTACGGAGAAGGAGAAGGAAAAAAAAAAGCCATACAGCACCCGGCCTTCAGAGCAAACATCAAGAAAAGTATCAGGGGCCCCTAGGGAGTCTAATCAGTTCAAACATGTCATGTTTCATCTGGTCACCGAGTCACCCCCTGCATGTTATGTGCCCCTCAGCCTACCGGTTCGGCAGCCGGCCCCGCCGGCCCCTCAACTGCAAGGGATCCACCAGTGCCGCCCTGGCTCTGCGCAGTATCTCGGGGCAGCAAAGGCCGAACCCGAGCAGCGACACGAACATTGGTCTCTTCAGCCCCCGTCCTTAGGGCAGAACTAACAGAACCTCAAAGCCCATGGCAAGCTTTGAGGGGTGTTGTTCCGCGTTGTTCCTACTACCAGGAAACACTTTGCCACCATGATGCTTCGACTTCTTCGACTGCCACTTTTGTTTTGATCTGGCCAATGTGCAGCTAAGAAGCACTTGGGGCATCTGCAATTGGTCAGCCCATGAGCGCTGCAAGGCTGGGGATGTTGGCTCCCCCGTTTCTCTTTAAAGGAAGGTTGTTGGCTGAAGCACTTGCTACAACTTTTGGGCATGCATCACTTAAATTATACAAATCTGACTCTGCGTCGTAATAGTAAAAGCATAGGAAGGGGAACATTGGCAACTCAACTATTCTGTAGGTATGCTTGTGCTGGCCAGAACAAGCCACCAATAGGATCGCATCCCAAAATAGACTCATGACTCATGACTTATGTTACTTGAGCCCATGCGCAGCACATATAATGGCAGGCCATGGTAACTCACAGATACTCACAGATCCTTTTGCAACAAGGGATCTTTGGTGTGTCTGGACTTGCACACCGGGACTCCATTTTCGGCTTCAGCCCGTTACAACATATTAAAACAAAGTCAAAGAACAGCCGCCTGAGCTAACTGAGGCCCTGTCTGCCCTTTCTCAAGGATGGCATCCGAAGGCCAATCGGAAGCTCCATGGCTGGCAGATCTGCCTGGAATGATGTCTTTCATGCTCAAGCTGTTTATCCTCCCAGTTGAAGATATGGAAAATGATCCAGTGTTTGATGACCCAGTTGGATGCTTGATTCGGTGTGGATGATTTGCTTCTAGTTGGATGTTGAGTTTTTGGATCATTGGAACATATTGGAACGGATCCCGGATCCCACTCAAATGACATCGAGAAAAAAGGAGAGAAAAGGAGCCAATTTGAAATTGGGTAAACTGGTCACCCCGGCTTTTCCTTTTGGGATCCTTTGATGACTTGTGGGCGAGTGTGCTGCTCTTGATCCGGGTGCAGCTTCACTGCGGCAATTTTCAACACGTCAATCCTCATCAATTGATCTGATCGAGCAGCTCGTAGGGCCATGGCAGCGGAGCTCCTTTTCCTCCATTGGCAGTAGTTTGACCCAACTCTGCTGAAAATGAAAGCAACACAAAGCAGACATGACAGAATAGCAACGCACCTGAAATCTTTGGGCTGGTTTCTCAGCCAATCGCCCCTATGGGAGCCCACACCTGCTCCCAAAGGTGCCAGTAGACTGGTGCATTACCGCTCAGAGGTTTTGCTCATTCGAGCGAACCGTCCATGCCAAGTTTCCAGCACGGAAAATGTTCTACCTACCAATACCCAGCACAAGAAGACCTGGAAGAGGTTGCCTTTCAGGTCCTCAAAAAGTTAAATCATTAGAGGGATTATGTGCAAATGCCACCTTGGAACTGGATTGCATATGCCCCTCTCACCAGCACTGGAGGCAAGAGCAAGTGTGAAGCCCCATCTATCATCTATGGCCATCAGGCTAATCATGTCCAATGGAGGTAGTGACAAAGATGGCAAAGAGTCAGGGGTCAGAGGAGCGGAACAATTGGACAGCGAAGTGCACATCTCTAATTACATGCTGGCTTGAACCAACCACATCCCTGAAAGACAAATGTCCTGCGAAGCAAGCCATCTTAACTCTTGTATACATTCTGACGCGGTTGTCTTCCGTGGTCCGTTCAGTTAAAAATTCCTCAAGGCTACAATGTGGTGTGCCCGAGAGTCGGGAACTCGTTTCGATCACATACCCTTTGTTTCCCGATTCTTGAACATGACCTCCGGCAATCTTCTTACCTGGCAATAGGAAATCTGCATCTCAATTCTCGATAGGTTAAAGCTGGAAAATTATAAAAACCTCTAATAATCCTTTTTATCATATATACATATGCACCTATATATATGTGTGTGTATGCGCACAATTATATATATATATGTGTATATCTGTGTGTGTGTGAAATATATATGTATGCGTGTGTGTGTGATATATATATATATACGTATAAATGTGTGTGTGTGATATAATGATATATATATATATACCATTATATACCACTTGGCCCAGAGGGGTCATAGCGGGTGATTTCCTGGCCAGCCATATCTGCTTGCCAGAGAGCCCCCATTTGTTCACATGGCTTTGAGGTCGGCTCACATCTTCTCGTTCTCATCGGCAGCGGCTGTTGCGCCTCTAGCCTTGCGCCAGTGAGACCACGTGCACGGGGCGGGGGGCGGTTTCGAGGCCAGCTGGTTCCCAGGCCGTTCCCAGCTGGTTCCCAGCCTCATTGGAAGAACCAGGTGGCACTCCCAGAAAATGGGACCAGCCTTTCCACTGGCCCAACTTTCCTGAGTTCATCACGCGTCGCCCTACGGACCTGAACATCATTCAAACTCTTCCGGTCAAGCTAACGTTGACGACTGTGCAGTATTCTCACAACGCCAATTGCATAAGGTCAAGTGTCCGTAGTACTCATCTGGGCGAGTTGGAATGTACGGATTTCGCTTCTCACCCATTGCAATCCACCTGAGTGGTGTGCTCACAACCCAGGTGTCATCCCCTCGTGCTAGTCATAATATCGTATAGTATAGGGGTTCTAAGAGGCTCTGATAATTCCCGTCAAGCGCGACTGTGCAACCGTATGATTTGAAAAGAAAGAGTGCAAAACCAAACCAGTTTCCAATTCCAACTTGCTGGTTTCCAGCCCTGTTCTGGGGCGTTGCTTGGCAAGACTTGAAGACCCAAACATGAGCAAAGATCTATCGCGCCCAAACTGCAGCCAGTTGCCCCAGCCAAGATACTCTTCCCACTCCTTCTTACTGTCCCAAAGGCCCATTGCGCGGACCCACTTCACAGAGTCATCAAAGGGCAAGAAGCGCCTCAGTAGTGGAGACCATGGCAACATCCGAACCTTCCCAACTACCTAGTGGGTTTATGGGACGCTGGAAAGCTCCACAGATCCAGGGCCAGCCAAGATTGTCCAGTATGTATACAGCAAGAAAGACGTTTCGACCGAAAAATCCACGGGTGCAACACCCTGCCAAATTGCAGACAACGGCGCTTTTTCCGGCGGAACAGGGCTCTCTTGGCATGTTCTTCGAGCTCACTACGGAAGAGCCGGATGTAATCCTGGCTGGTTTCAGGGCATGTGCTGTATGGCTGGCCAAGCAAGACAGTTGAAACGATTTTCGGTGCAGCTCCCTGAAAAGTAGAAAGCCTTGAACCTTTCTATACTCTTTATATTAAGATCTTCAAACGGTGGAACCCGGTGGAACCCTCAAACTAGCGACCCTGACATTCCATAGCGGCAAACTCATGGCATCGAAAATCTCTTGACCTGCTAGTACCCAATGGCAGTCCTTCTCATCCAGGAAAACCAGCTCTTGTTTACCTGCCAGGAGTGCCAGGCTCAAAATATTATCCAGCAATTGCTTCACAATGGGTACTCCAAGACGTTCTGCATTGATCAAGCGAGAGATTTCAGAGAGGGAAGTCCCGAATTGATGTACAATGTAGAGCAACCCCAGATGGCACCCGACGCAATCCCAACCTCCAGCCCTTGCAGCATCCAGAGACCCTTCACCGCTGGCGGGTCTGGAAGTCCTCGCATCCCAGCGACGCAGCGGTCCTCACCAGGCGAAGAAAAGCACAAGCCCCACAAGTCTGGTCTATGAATGGAAAACAAACACAGGGCCACTGACAGGTAAGCCATGGTAAGCCCAATAAGTATCACCGCCTGCATGACCGACGAAACCGAAAGCTGCAGCGAAGCCCCAGACCACTGCAACAATGCCTGAGGTTCTCGGCCAAGGCTGTGGGTGAGTTGATCAGTTCTGTGAGGGTACAGCCCTTTAAACATACAGGCTTCCACTGTGACATATGCCAGTTCTGGGTGATTTGGATTGCTGCAGCTTGAGAAATCATCATGTGCCCATACTACCCAAAGAGCAACTCTGCCAACAGGCTGAAAGCAGGTCTAGCAACTAGCGTGCACTGCGATTCTGCACCCGTTGAGGCCTTCCACAGTTTCACTGGTTTTTAGGAGGAAAAAAACATAAATTACTTTACTTCGAGTGATCCCCAAGTGGTGGATCACTACACAGAGCAACCCGTCCCCTCCAACACCCAGGATGCTTTGGTACCACAGCTACAGTTTGGCAGGATAAAACTAAGATAACTAAGAAGCCAAGTTGCTTAACAAGCTGCCGTTGGAGGATCGAGCCATGCTCACACGTTTTTCGACCGGTGGATAATAAACGCAGCCGTTCTTTAGGCCGGTGATCAGCTTGGCAATGAACTTCGAAATGATGGGTGTGTCAGAGTGTCAGAGTGTCAGGGTGTGGCTTTGCATCCCTCAGTCTTCTTAACATGAGTTCCTATGTTGACAAAACATAAAGGGCCTGCATTCAAGCATGCATGCTGCGCATAGTTCTTATCAATCATAACTTATCACGATACCATTTACCTGCACATGCCAAAAGAGTCACGTGCTTAGGAACTGTTTATGAAGAGAATGCGAGAATATGATAGGCATCTTCCATTGGACCACATCGAACGCTACAGCCAAGTTAGCCGCAGCCATCCATGGTCAGAGGTTCAGTACACAGTCAGCGAGGTGTTGATGTCTCAAATTTGATAGCTTCTGGTGTGCCAACACGTTGGGCAGTCGCACGGCAATTTCTGTACTGCCAAAGAGAGGATCATATTACCCCAGGGTCACGCTGCAACAGAAAGGCTCTGTGGATTTAACTCCATGCCCTTCAAGTGCAGGCTTGCTGCCCCTGAGGATCACAGGGCTGCCAACAAACTGAATCTGTTCACCAAACACTAGGGACCTCCAACCGGCTCCAGGATGTTTTCTGGATTATTTTCCTACAATTTTCCTGCCAAGGACGGCACAGCCTGTGATCTAAGCGCATTTACGACGCCGCATGCCCTGCTCTCAGGGTCTGCCTTTGCAGAGGCGGCAGAGCATTAGCCGACCAAAGGAGAAAGAACTCAGTGACTCAGTCTTCCATGGCATCATCCTCGCCTTGCTACGACTGGTGCTTCATCATGGTACCCATCCCAGGACCCATCCCAAACATGTTCATATCATGTTCATCACCTGAGGCCATCTCCCGCAACGAATGAAACATCAAATTCGTTTGAAAGCATTGGCCAGTCACCATCTTCTTCCTCCTCTCCTTCTCCTTCCATCCACTCTTCCTCTTCTCCCTCTTCAAAGCCTGGCACATGGCTGCAAGTTCTCATCAATTCGCCAACTTCCTAACCACGACCAGGGCATGATCCAGATATCCACTGCAGTGAAACCAAACATTGGGTGAAACACAAGTGCTCCCTGCCCTGGCCCCCGTTGCTGCCCTGGCCGTCATCATCCATGCCGTCGTCTGAACCATCCTCTGCATCGTCATGTTCCATTAGCTCCTTTGATGCAGCAGCATCGTCAAAGCTGCCCCACATCAATTGGAATGAGACCATACTATCTCGTGTACTAATTCTTGGAATCTGAAGCACATATCCACTGATCGAATATGCAACATGTATGAAATGTGTGTGTGTGTGTGTGGGTTCTGATCACTGATATTGGATCTCTTGCGGTCTTTTTTACATCTACAAATGTCATACTCAGGCAGCAGTCAGCCTCATTTCTACCTAATGTCCCCAAGTTTTGACCTATCAGTCTCTCTCTCTCTCTCTCTCAATCTCTTGCTCTCTCACATTCCAAAGTTTACCTTTGGCCAGTGGATGCTCCAACAAATCCCTCCCAGTTCCACCTGCAAGGCGATCTGGGGCCCTAGGCCCTGAGATGGCCAAGTCAGGCCACGTGAAGCCGAGCTCACGTCCCGCGAGCGCAGCAGATCCAGCTGCGCTTTCATCACCTGGAAAAGGGCTGAAAGTCCAAACCAAAAAAATGAGGTACTGTAAACTTTATTATCATTTTTAAACCAATTGGTTCAGCTCTTTCCCAAATCTTCATAATTTGTCCATCTACCCCCTTGCATTTCTTCTCCCCACCATGGTCGCGCTGCCATGGGGCGGATTCAAGTTGTTGCCGAAGGTGTCCTTCCCACATGTTTGGCCCCTCCAGCTGCGCTGGCGGCAGGCAGCTGCAGCATGGCGAGGTGGCGAGCTGCTGAAGGAAGAGCTGGGCGGCGGACTCTACGCCTGTGGAGGGCCCTGAGATCTTTGGCATCCGCCCCATGGGGTTGGGAATCAACTAATGTGGTAAAGCCTATCGTCATAAACAATCCCGTTAACTCACCATTGGGGGGGTGTCATTTTACATCATCCCACCATACCCAATAATAAACCCCAATTGGGATGGTTTCTTATTGGGCGGTTTACCACATTATCAATATAACCAATTCACATGGTGATGGGCAATGGGGACTTCACATGTCCACACAGATTGTATCACAAGTAACAGGAATGCAACAAAGAAGAAATGAACATATAAATCAGAGAAACCAACAAGTGTGGGGATTTGACCAACAACCGCAGGAACTGTAGAAGAAACATAAGCCGAAACGCAACCAACAATGATAGGAACATAAGAACTCCAAGTGCCACAAACATTCGAATACGGAGTTCAAAATTAAGACCCCAAGAGCCACAAATGGACTCATGAAGTTGAGTATGAGACTCTCCGATGCTTGGATCAACCAATCGTGACCCAAAGCCTTTCAAGAAATGATGGGAGTCCTCGACGAGTCGTGGTGACCTGCCAACCTTCAAAGGTCCAAGTACCACCGACAGGGTGGAGCCTGGTGCTTTTCCCTTCTTGGTCTTCACGTTGAAGGTTTTAGCCCAAACCTATGACTCAGACCATGGAAAGACAACTACTTCAGAAACCCCACCCAAAATTCCAGGAATGCATTCACTTCCTCGTATTCCAAGATCATTTGACCCTAGGATCTGCTGATGATACTTTTCTGGGTGGTATTCCCAGACATATGTTCTTTGCAAATAAGCAGGGGCTGTAGACACCACCATCAAATTCCAGTTCTCGGCTGGCTATTTGCCAATTTCAACCTATAGTAAGTTTCCCAGTGCGTCGTACGTAAGTCTGCGTGTGTCTGTGTGTGTGTGAGTGCAATCCTCCACATTTAAGTGCCTGGAAGTTTGACATATCTTTGCACTCCATAAACATATGCTACGTGTACAGTGGAGTATCTTTAGTGCGTGTAACTCCGTATAACCATATAACAGTGGTATATCATACATGTAGTAAAGTACACGCATGTGCACATACATACACACACATATATATATATATATAGATATGCATATATATATAATTATATATATATAACGTACATACATGTATAATTATGTATATAGTACGTTCGTGTGTGTGTGTGCGTGTGTGTAACATACTATCTATATGTATATAATATATATATATATATATTATATATGTGTGTGTGTGTGAAACATACATCCATTATATAATCATAATACTACTAATAATAATCATTATTAAGTGTAGATACATTGAAACTTCTGAGGCCAAAACTTGCAGAAATCCCTCGGCACCATCAAAGGCCGGCAGCCGATAGCGTCGCATCAGTGCCTGCGGTCCGCAGCGCTGAAGGAAGTGACGAACCACCTCCAGCGGTTCAGCACCTGTAGGGCGACATGGGGTGGGTTTCAGGGACAGGTGGCTGGGACTGGACATGGGGTGGGTTTGGGGGACAAGCATGGTGCGGTATGCTGCGGTGCTTGGATAAGCACGCCAGTAATTAGTTGGGGTCAATGGTCAATGGTCAATGGTCAATGGATAGTAAGAGCGGCTACAAGCGGATACAAATCACGTCTCTGTTGTGCAATGTTGTGTTGGTATTTCCCTCAACCAAAGGTTCTCCAGTGTATAACAAGGTTGGGAGCCTGGCTGTCAATCACTTAATTGGGATGCTCAGGTTCAATGAGTGTCGGAAATAATTTCTCGTCCCCCAATATCACCAAACACCATCAAACAGCCAAGAGTTGTGTCAATCAAAATAGTGTCTAAAATGTGGGTTTGTGGGTGCACGCAGCGCCTTGACAGTCATTTCTACATGTCTGCGTCCCTTGTTTCCAATTCTTCTGGGTGTGTCAAACTGTCCTCCGCACGGTCCAACAAAGGAGTATATATTACTTTACGGCTTGATGGTATCCACAAATCTGAAGACACTCCCATCTTTGCAGAAGTATATAGCCAGCCCTCCAAAGTAAGTCTTTTGGGCATATCTGCATCCAACCACCTTCCCAAGGTCACCCAACTCATGGCCTGGCTCCCTGGCTTTTGGCAGCAGCCCCCGCATTGCCAGGTGCAAGCTGAAGTGCAGGGCCTGTTCGCCTTCCGGATCTTCAGCAGGCCTCAAGCGACCCACCTGGTCTAAGAACTGTAGACTTCCTGCCAGCTGGCAACTGGGAAGAATAAGTCGGTGAGCAACTAGAACTTATCTGCGAAGCAACTGACAAAGCATTTTCGGCAATTTCTTTGCCCCATATAGCTCCGGTTTCCGGCCCACTTGTCCTGATGATCCTGCTGCTTGTTCTCTCCTCAGGGCTTTCAGCAGGGATTTCTTCCCAGTGCCCTCAAAGCCTAGGACGCCCACCACGCTGCTCTCCGCACCCGTGGCCGATCTCTGCAGCACATGGAGAAGCTCCTTGACACCTTCACCACCTGCCTCCACCTGGAGTGGCTTTGGGCCGGTGACACAAGAAGTGTGTACGTATGCTGCAGGTCTATGATTCATGGTGTGGCAACACCAGAGGCCCTTCAAATAAATACAAATGGCTTTCCCTATGCCCTACGCAGTGGGTTTCCCATTTCCCAGTTTTGGAACCACAGTTCACACCACAGTATAGTTTGCAAATCATCCTCTGCCAATTCGCGCCCAGAGACTTGGACACAGAGTGCAGGGGCCAGCTGCCCCAAGGCTTGCTGCCAATCTGCTACTTGCTGAGGAATCACCAGGTCAACCTTCGTCAGAACAAAGATCAAACGCTTCTGATTCCTGAGCTGCGCAGTGTCCAGCAGTCCTGTTGGCTTTACGAAGATCTAAGGCTATGGCATATGGGAAGGCTCACCGACTCACCATCACAGACCCGTCTGCAACGAAGGTTCTGAGTGGCCCAGGCTTCCAGCTCGGCGCATCGGCAGTACTGAGGATCTCGGGCATCCAATGTCTGCAGCAAAATGTCCGCCTTCCTCGGTCGTTCACCATCCCAACAGGAGAACCAACTGCTTCTGCACGAGGAGGGTTGGGCAAAAACTTTCAGCTCAACACCATGAACAATGGATATCAGTATCGCATAATATATATATATATATTAATATGTCCATTACTGCCATTGCCTATATTCCTTAGTGCCATCTGTTCCTCCCATTAAGATCCCTCCAAGGTGCAAAAGCATTCGCTGCAACGTCTCTAACTGTGACATCAGCACCTCCTCTGCACGCTTTTTTCGTCTCTCTGACTCTTTGCTTTTGTGCATCTCCTGTCGCAGTGAGAAACACTTCACCAGTGGCAGTACCGCTGATGGTAGCCAGCTCGAGCCTTTTCCGCCCATTATATAATATCAAAGTGCAAAAAGCGTGCAGTTTGTAGCTGGGGGCCTTGCATCATTGCCAAAAATGCAAAACTTAAGTGACTGTTTGCAAATTGGAAGTTGGCCATTGTATGATATTGATTGTTCAGGTTGCTCTGTATATATTCAAGCCGTGCGGCAAGCTTCCCATGAAAAGCAGTTTCCATGATCTCCTCCATCTCCTTTTGCTGCTGTTGTCGGTCAAGCTTTGTTTTCTCTCTCGCCTGCGATCCATCTGTAAAGATGGAAAGGAGGATGCGGTGAAAGCGATGCATTCGAGAACCTCCAACAGTTGTAAACATGAAACTGGTAGACAAAAAGCAGCCTCCACCACCTGCAGCAATGACAACCATTTCCAAACTGACATTCGTGGTCACTACCTCATCAGGCATAGCTCTTACAGCTATCGCCGCCAACTGCGGTATACTGCAGTATTCCCTAAGGTGATCCACACAAGACGGCCTCTTGTTTCTTCTTGACAAGTTCCTCCTCTTTCTTCGCCTTTTTGACTTCGATATCCGCCAGCAGCTCCCCCTGTCAGGGCATGCGGGAGCCCAGAAACCCATGACGAACGACCCTGCTGTTTTTTTCGACCCCTCGTGCCTTCCATGGCAAGCTATTGGGGATGCCTTGGCAAGATTTACAAATTTTACAAGCTTGCAAAGCACCTACCAAGCAAATCTCTGACTGCGACTAGCACTAGTGCGGAACAGATACCTGGATCTTTTCTCTGCCGCCTTTTCTGCCCGAGTTTTTTTGCTTCTTTCTTTACTCTTCGCTTGTGCTCGCGAATGCGCTTCTGAATGTTGTACCTCAGTGCTTCCCAGATTCGCAGCAGTCACCTAGTAGAACGCCAATTGTCAGCTGGAAAGTCGATTAAGAGCGTACTCCTGGTCAATAGGGAACAGTGCAAGCTTGTTAGAAAATCAAATGAAAGCTTTTTTGCTTGCCCAGGTGCTTCAGGCTCAGCTTTTGTTTTTTACTCTTTCGATTCCCCTGCAAAGCAGCTCGATGAACAGGCATGTAAACTCTGCAAATCCGCAAATCACAAACGTGACTCGCACCACAGCAATGCTGGCCCCAGCAGCCCTGGACTCCGCACCAGCAGCTTCATGTTTGTCTTCGCGATGCTATGCTGGAGGCTGAGCCAAAATACTTTTTGCAGCACATATGCACAACAAGAGAAGTCAAACCCCAACACAATTGACTGCAGGCCACAAGAATAAAGTGTTTGGGAGGTCATAAAGGTCTGAACAGAATGGCGCTGAAGGATCACTGCGCGAACCTAGTGCCGCCCCCCCACTCACTTCCAGGTTTTTTTCTCCTATTTCTCCGATTCCTTCTTTGGGATGTGGATCAATCTAAAGACTAGCTGCTTGGAATTTTTCTCGGACGCTAGTTCCCTGGACCAATAGGGCAGGATGCAAAATCGAACACCTCGGCCGTCATTGTCCAGATACCTCTGTGCCAGCATGCCAGCGACCAATGCCCGGTGGGCAGCAACCGAGCCCATGGCCCGAACAACCGGATACTTCCCGTGACCACCACCTTGTGGTCTCATCGCCCCTGCCATGGCCGCAGCTGCCTTGCCGGCCACTGTGTTGGCTCCCACGAGCAGATCGGTGTGACCACCTGCGCCAAGGGTCAGGGCATCGGCTGGAACCACCACCGGCTCGATGTGTAAGCGGAGCTCCCTGGGACCCTCTTGGCTACCTTGACCTTCAGCTTCTGGGGCTTTGCCTTGGCAGGGAGTTGATGGACTTGGAGAGTGCGGGCTTTGGAGCAGATCCTAGCCGTTTGACAACACAAACAAGTGACCACTGTAACTCACAGCGTCGGAAACCCAAGCCCGGGTTGCATGCTGGATCTCCCATTCGCTCCCCAAAGTTCTCTCTCTATTATGTTTTTCTATGTTAAAGTCACCTTTCCTTGCAAAAGTTTTCAGGATCAGCTAATAGCTGCCAAACGGCTAGACTGCGGCAAGACTTGGATGCCAAGATGGCGCCCTTCCGGCGCACCCTCGTCGTGACTCAGATACCCCGTGGCGTTCACCAGCGCCTTGATGCTTTGGAAGGCAGCTTTCGCACCAACACAGCCTGAGTGATCTTCGGAAGGAGACTCATCCAGTGCCCAAGACCTTGTCATCCCTATACCCCATCAGTCTCAATCTATTGTTCAGTTGATGTGAAATCCATGAAACCAGCCAATCAGTATAACTGAATAACCTACAACCTTGAAAATATCTTTAAAATTATCAGCAATCAACAGATTCAACAGGAGGGGCCAAGGTGCGAATGCTGGTGTGGCCATCCTGCCGCACGCGCGCTGCAATGGCACCCCCAAGGCGCACGGTGTCGCTGGCAGCGCTGGCAGTCAGCGCATCGCCTGGAGAGACAACAGCTATGTTGAACCAGTTGAACCCCTGGGTGATGGTGGTGTAGCCCTGAATTAAAATCACAAGCATTCACTATGTTGCATAGCTAGCATATCTCCTTGGAAAGATATAGGGCACTATGAATCGTTTCCAACTGAGTTTAGGCCAACAAACTGATGTCTTAGTACTGAAAGTGAATCATGCGATTCATATCATTTCATATACATGTTTGCAAGTCCAAATGCGACTTGTCTTTCAGCAGGTGTATTTAAGTGTAACTTCTGTGGGGTCTGCACTTCGTCCACACGGCTATCTTATGCTTACATGGTCTTTATTTCCATAGCATTTCCTCACTAGCTCCCATGCGAGGTATGGAAAATCGCGCACCAATCAATTAATTTTGCATCAAATCACCTGTTTCTGGGAGATTTTTTTAAAGTTATGTGTGCGCGTTGTGTTTCAGCCGTTCTTGCCGCCATGCAACTGCTCGTCGACATGGACCTGCCAGCCGTCCGCATCACATCGGAGAAATGTCCTGCCCCAAGGTTGCACAACTGCTTCAAGCTCAGCCGCAGAAACAATTTCCAACAACCATCCAAAACTATCCAAAGCTAAAGCTGATGTTGACATTGACCAACCCCCTGGTGGGTCTTCCGCTGGCCACATCTTGTGAGGTCCCAGTGCCTCGCAGAAGTGCAGGGAGGCATCGAGTCCGTAGGCCCAAAGGTAGCCGCCACATGGCACCCCAATGTGGAGCAACACAGTGTGACAGCTAAGCTGGATGAGTGAATGATTCGTAGTTCAGAGCAAGAAAGTTGACAAGTCATACAACTGGCTTATCTCATGGACAAGTGGGTCAAGTGATTTTGAAACCCTGGTTGCAATAGCCGCTAGCCACTTGCTCAGTGGGATGATCGTCCAAGAAAACACATCTCATTCACAGCAGGTCAGCCAAAAATGTTCAGACTGATTTTTCCATCTGGCTTTCATTTGGTCAAGTGGGCGTCCATGAAATAAATTCAATGACATGTAGAATATGGTAAAATAATCTAAACATATCTAAACACTTACCTGACCGACGCGTCACGTCTTCGGGAAGCAACCAAGCATGTGGCCATGGTGGTTCTCCAAGCGCTGAAGCATTGAAACCCGCAGTTTCCGTATTTCAGTGCAATACCATCGGCTCCGACATTCACGGCCATGGTTCTGCTCTAATCTTGTGCTGTAGTCGATGTCTCTTTCCAACAGATAAATATTCTCGCCGCAGCAACACCAACCGACAGATTCTGGAGGTTGTTGATAGAGTCAACTTGTCACTTGTCCGTGTGATTCTTACCGAAGGAGCCCATGCGGGAGCGGTTGATGGCTCATGAAGCTCCGGCTTCCAACTCGGCCAAGCTTATCAGCTGGTCCTGCATGATATTTGTTAGGAAGAACGGGGTGCAAGAATCACCACAACCACTTTTCCCGAACAGTTCCAATGTCCTGACGTGCTTTGTGATCAAGAAAGATCTGCAAACTGTCGGATTGAAGCACGGCAATCAGGAAGAGAAGCTCCGACTTGTCCACCAGGATCACTGCCCCAGGTTTCATGTCCATCTGCCTCCCTGGTTTCAAATCTTTTATTCTCAGCTTCCCATCCTGCAGCAGCTTCCTCCAACATCCAAAATTCTCCAAGCAAATTTTTCGTTTTGCTCCCAGCGCGCTGAGGAACGGCGCAGCTTGCAGCGTGGGGCGCAGCTCACAGCCCCACAGGTTCAGCTCCTGGCTGCTAACGCAACGCTGCAGGAAGGGCATGCCGCAAAGGCTGTGGCGTAGCAGCTCTGGGACGCGCAGCTCAAACAAGGCAGGGGACACCAAGTACAAAGTCTGCTTGTCCGTAGTCCTGGCAAAGGGTTTGGGAGAAGTCGGAAGTAGAACATGAACATGCTATGAAAAAAAAACAAGTCACAGTCCCAACCTTATAGAACCTACTTCACACCTTAAAAGCTGGTGACGTTGAAACGTTTCTCATGGTGGGTGTTTGCCACAGCCTTGCCTGTAACACAAGTTTGGAAGATGTAGCAAACCCATATGATCCCCAGGTGATGCTGGAAGCTTGGGGCATTCTAAGCCAAAGAAGTCAGCGAAGGAAACCACTGCATCCGGTACCTTGGCACATCGCTTCACCAGTCTGGAACCTGGGCGACTTTCAACTGACCGTGCGCCAGGGCCAGGCCCCGAAACCGGCCGTTGCAGCTGTTTCCGGTGAAGCAGCCGCCATGCCAAGAAAGCGACCAAGAAAGACGCCGACAAGTGGAAGACGGAGGGCACCTTCCTCCCACGCATAGCCTTGGCCCCAAGCAAAAGCGGCAACAATCTAGATGGGCTCCAAAGGCTGCGCCAATGATACAGCCGATTCCAACCAGTGACTATGGAAAGCACCAAACTGGCCATGCCTACCATTGCCAACTTACAACCATGGGTTCTCAACGACTGCCATGCACCAGTCTGAAGCTCCAAGTCCTCTAGCTCGACGTGGTAGGTGCTCCTGTCTGGATACCGGATCTTGACCAACCCCTTAAAGGCCCGTTGCCCAGGCCCCACCACCATGGCGGGAGCCCCTGTGGCTCTGACCACTACTCTGGTGCCAGTGGCCAACGTAGCCTGTGGGTACCCAATACCATCCATGGTGGCAGCCGAAGGAGCTGGGACCTGTGGGGGTGACCTGTTGACCTTCTGAAAAATGGCAAGGAAGAAATGGCTGGAGCCGTTCGTTCCGCGCAAGCCTGGGTGAATTGAGTTGACCACGTGGCAGTTCCCCCTAAGAGACCAGGAAAGAAAAGCTGGAAACAGGGAGAATGAAAAACTAGTAGCTTAGAAACACTTCTGCAACTCTGAAGTTGTCAACTCAGCCGTGCTCGTGGGTGGGAACATCGTCTGCAAGATCTTTCCACCACGAAGTACTTGTGGCACCTCCTCCCAGGAAGTGAAACTACAGGTGTTTTTTTTGTCAGGACTTGGCACATTCCAAGAGATGTGGCCATCGGAAATAGGCCATCCAGAGACTGGTGTCCAGTGGTGAGATGCTGGGATCAACTTCAGCTGTAGTTCAGAAGCTTGGGATGATAGACATGCAGCTACGACAGCTTCATTTTCGATGCAATTGCTCCCTTGGGTCAAATATATGAGCTTCCCACCAGGAGCCAGTGACTGCAAGCCACGCTGCAGCGTCCGAAGTTGCAGAGGATGCATGTGCCAGGGTTGATGTTTCTTGGATGACTGGCTGCAATTCACTCCACACATGATCCGATCAAATTTCAATACAACTTCACGCACCTCCGGCGGCTCTTGGGTGACTGGATGCTTTGCAGCCGCAATCTGCGGGAAGCTTTGTGGCGGGCAGCAGGTGAACACCACAGGGCTCCGAAACTTCGGAAGAACCTCCGCCACCAAGGCATCCAGCAGCTCTGGCCGCGGGGCATTGGCAATCAGCAGCCCAGGTGGCACCTGACCACTAAGGCTAAGACCCCGGCCAGGGCCAGCGGCATGCAGGGCTTCCGCCAAACTGCCGCTGCAGGTGCCGCTCATGTCTAGCAACCGGTGCTGGGGAGAAACGTCCAAGAGCGCCACCAAGGCCCGGAAACAGCCAGCCCCATCCATGGATCCACCACAAAGGTGGCGCAGGGCTTCACATGGCACCGAGAGAAGGGGCCGTTGGTTTGGAAAGACTTGCCTGGAAGGGGTGGGCCTGAGCGAAAGCTGTTGAGGCATATGCGGCATATATGATATGTCTTTCTGACGGGCCCTCACTATATAAATTCACCAACTCGAGAGGATCAGCCCAGCATTCCTGGTGAAGCGGAGAGTCCGTTTCAACAAATGCGTCCAAACCTGACTTTGTGAGATCCGCAACACATGACTGCAGTTTGCTATTGCCCGTTTTTTCCACTCACTTTGGACCAAAGAATTCATTGGCATTGGAGGTTGTAACCTTTGCAACCTGCTCTGGCGGCACCTGCAAGGAGCAGGCACACACAGGAAAGACTCTGAGTAGAAAAAGTATGATATTGCTGCATGTGTGCGTGTGTCTGTGTGTGTGTGTGCATCGTGTCATACTACTACTTACCACCGCAATTACAATGTTCTGTCGTTGGTAGTGTGCACACATATTCTTGGGGGAAATTATGTTTTCAAATGCTGGATATGGACGAGTCACACGAAATATCAGTTGTGAGCAGGTTCCAACAGCCGGCCTTCATGCATTCAGCTATAGCACGGCAAACTGCTGGCATGCTGCAGGGTTCATTCTTTCCTCGATTCCGAGCAAGGCCTTGACATGCCTTGACCCTCATGGTGAGAATGGACTAGGGGTTGGAATACCGCATGCAGCAAATCCCGGCATTTTAGTTCACGTGGAATGGTGCATCCACACCTTCGAAGGTTTGGTCAGAAGAAACTACTCTTGTTGAACTACTCATGACACTTGTGCCAAGCAGCGGTGTGCAATTCCCAAGGCGTCTGGCAAGAACTCTTTGTCAGGCATCATGAAGGGACAATCTGTCCTCGGCATCTCTTGGACTTGGGTGTGTTGGCATGTCCCGCCTACATATCCTCCATTCGGACGTAATTACATTAGCCAAACATGATTGTCTCACAAAGAGACCACACACAAAAAAAAAAACACATCCCTGCCACCATGAAACTCAATCATCAGTTGCTCCAATGGAAGATCTCCACTTTCCAACATCTCCCTGATGTGAGCCCCGCGTCTCTTCATGGCCGCAAAGCCAGTGAGACCGATGAAGTAACCTACAGCAAGAGCTGCCATCATGCCATCATCAAAGAAGTGTACACACTGAGATGACCCTTATCCTTGGTAAATTATTTGGCCATCGACTCTTTTAACTGTCATTATGGGATGTGCCCCACCTACTGACAAAATTCACCAACCTCAAAAATCACACTGTCCAAGGCTGTGAGAACCCACCTTGCGAAATGTAGTGTGAAAGTTCCTCCCTATTTCCCGTGAAGCAGTGGATGCAGACCTTCTTTGGGTCCACTTTGTTCTCAGCCAAAATGTCTCGGAGATTTTCCGAAGATCCCATTTTCTGGCCTTTGCTGGGATCACGATCGCGCTCGTGAAGGAACAGCGGCATGCCGAGCTCCACAGCCAACTCCACCTGCTTTCGGCACCACTCCAATTGAAGCCGTCGCGGTGAATGCATCCGGTCATAATCTAAACCTCATGGGGTTGGGCCCAGATTTCGGAAAAAGGGACAATCTTGGATGGTTCATCAGGCTTCAAATATTTAAATGTTTGAGCCACTTGCTTACATTACCAGCGGATCTGGGGGTTGCGAATCCATATGATACAAAGAAACAATTCCTGAGCAGGTACAGCAACGATGTCAAGAATTTGGCCGCCTCATCTCCAGGGTTTGCTTTCCGAGAATAAAGACCGCTAAAGCTAAAAAGGTACAAAGGGCCATATCAAGAATTTTATTTGCCTTTCTCTCTCTCTCTCTCTCCCTATCTCGCTCTCTTCCCCCCTCTCTCCCCCCTCTCCCCCCCCTCCTCACCCCCCCTCTCTCTCTCTCTCTCTATCTGTCTCTCTCTCTCTCCTCTGTCCTCTCTTCCTCTCTCTCTCTCCTCTGTCCTCTCTTCCTCTCTCTCTCTCTCTCACACTCTCTCTCTCTCTCTCTCACCCTCCCTCCCTCCCTCCCTCCCTCGCTCTCTCTCTCTCTCTCTCTTTCTCTCTCTCTTTCTCTGGACTCTGAACATTCTACACATTACGCTTGGCTCCTTTGCTGTTTCTGATACATATGTGTTCAACGTGAAGGGTTTGACTTGGGGAGACCACCTGTTTTCAGCAGATGTTGTCCAAGGCACCACACTCACCAATGGAGACACATCCAGGTGATGCTGCCAACTCTCTGAGTTCCTGCATGGTGTTCTCATCACAAGTTTTCGAATCGTGCGGGTGGACCCCCGCGGTGAATAGCAGCTGTGGCAAGCTGGTGAGTTGCATCTCATGGATCCTCAGCGACGCTTAAAGTTTTCATTGGGGCGCCTAAGTGGGTGGCCGGTGACAAACATGGCCAAAGATGACTGCTTTATATCCACACTGTAGAGGGTACAAACTGCCGGACTG